CCAGGATGGTCTCGATCTCTTGACCTCGTGATCCACCCGCCTCGGCCTCCCAAAGTGCTGGGATTACAGGCGTGAGCCACCGCGCCCGGCCTGCGTTGTTTTTTTTTTAAATTTATATTTATATTTATTATTTTTAAAAAAGACAGGGTTTCACTATGTTGGTTAGGATGGTCTTGAACTCTCAACCTCAGGTGATCCGCCCGCCTTGGCCGCCTCCAAAGTGCTCGGATTACAGGCGTGAGCCACCACGCCTGGCCTTTTTTTTTTTTTTTTTGAGACGGAGTTTCACTCTTGTTGCCTAGGCTGGAGTGCAATTGTGAGATCTTAGCTTACCACAACCACAACCCATGCCTCCTGGGTTCAAGCGATTCTCCTGCCTCAGCCACCTGAATAGCTGAGATTATAGGCATGCACCACCACGCCTAATTTTGTATTTTTAGTAGAGACGGGGGTGCCTCCATGTTGCCTAGGCTGGCCTCGAACTCCCGACCTCAGGCGGTCTGCCTGCCTCGGCCTCCCAAAGTGCTGGGATTACAGGTGTGAGCCATTGCGCCTGGCCAAATTTTTATTTTATTTTATTTTGGTATCTTTTTGTAGAGGCCGGGGGAGAATTGCAAACAGGTATGTGTTTTTGGGAGATGGGGCATTCTTTTCCTTTCCCTAACTTGCTTCTTCTGGACACTTCTGAGGAAGGAGAGAAAACCAGGGAGCCCCAGAGCTCTCTGGCAGGTGGCAGCCAGTTCTGTGTTCAGAATGTGCTTGCTGTCAAGAGTGCAGGCCTAGAATTCCAACCTGGCCACAGGCCAAGGAGGGAATGGACCCATCCCGCGCATGATGTGGAGATGAAAAGTAGCTAGACTCCACCACGGGTCTCGTTCCCAGACCCATCCAGTAACTGTCGGGTTCAGTAACTGTAAAGTCTGGGGCCTTTGGGGTGGGGGGCTGCAGGTAAGACTGGGGAGAGCTAGAGCTATTTTAGGATCCCCACCTTGATTGTTCCAGGCAGTAACCCCCGTCTCTTTATTTCTTTCCCCACCCAAAGAATGCTGGCCACTAGGAGTGAGTGACCAGCGCCTGCGAGTTAGAGCTATTTTGGGCAGGAGAGCAGGCATCAGATTCCAGCGTTCCACGCAGGGGGAGGGGAGAAGGGTTAGGCCTGAAGTGCTTTCCGACTCCCCAGCCTGCTGAGGGCTAGACTGTAGGAGATGAGCTAGCTTCCCGCTGTTCCAGGTCCTAGCCTTAATCTTCCCTTAAGGCCGGGAAGCAAGGCTTTCATCCTTTGCAATTGAGAGAGCGCTTCCTGATTGTTCTCGTGGCTTATAAATACCCCTTGATTTGCATTCGAGGGAAATTAGGAAGCCTGAACGCAGTCGACGAGTGGCCAGTTGCTGGGCCAGTTCGCAGTCCTGATTATCCCTCGTTTACTCTTAGAGGCCCAAAGGCCTGCAGTTGGGGGGGTCGTCCCTCCCCCACACTCCTGGTCCTGAAGGCTCCGGGTGACCGGCACCGGCCACTGGGGTGTGTCCCGGGACGGACCAGCCTGGCCATGGGGGCGAGGTTTCCATGATGGGGCGTGACTTTTAGGGCAGGGGCGTGGTTAGCCAATGAGCAGAGAGGAGCGGACTGGGGCGGGGCTTGCGCGCGGGTGCGGCGCGCTGCGGAGCGGCCGACGCAGGCAGAAGCGGGCGGCGAGCGGACAGCCAGTCGGCGCCGCGCGGAGCTGGGCGCTGGATTGGCTACAGCACTCGCGTGTCAGGCGGTTGCTAGGCTCCGGCCGCGCGCCCCGCCCTCGCGCTCGGGGCCCTCTCACCGCCCGGTACGTGCTCTCGCGGAGGCTGCGGCGCTGCGCTCGCGCTGCTTGGGCTTGGCGGCGGCGGCGGCGGCAGCTTCGCGCCGAGTCCCGGGGGAGCGGCGGTGGCGGCGTCCTGGGGCCGGAAGGAGCGAACGCCTGCCGCGGTCCTCCAGCCTGCGCTGGGTGAGTGCACCGCCCGCCCCCTGCCGCTGTGCCTGGTTGCTGGAGCCCCCATTCCCTCTGCCCGCTGAGCCTTCCGCGGAACACCTGCTGCTGCTCGCTGTTCTGCCCGGGGCGGGGACACTGCCGCGGACGTCCTTGTGGGTGAGGAGGCGGTGCCGCCCGGGCGGAGCCGCCCCTTTGCTCTTGGTCCCTCCGGCAAAGGCTCGGAGCGTTCGGCTGCAAGGCCCGGGCCGCGCGCCGCGGCGATGGGCCAGGCCTTAGCTCGGCCCGCGCTCCCGGGAACGCGGATCCTGTGCCTTGGCCGCGGTCGTGAGCGGGCCGCCTCCCGGGCTTTCTGTGGGGGTCGTGGCCCAGTTGGGCCGGATTCTGACTGTGGGGCGTCGAGCCCCGCCAGAGGCAGGGAAGGGCGCCGCTGCCGCCACTGCTCAGAGTTGTTCAGAGCCTTGGTGGGGTCCCTCACCCCTACTTGAGCTCCTTTGGAAGCCAACTTACTACCTTTTCACGTTTTCACTTTGTATTTGGCAGACCATGTTTATCTCCGAGTGTATTTAGACAGTGTCTCCATAGAAAATGTCGTCTCGGGTCGGAATTTTTTTGCCGTAAATTGCAAGTTAATTTCCTACAAACTCAACTGGTAACTTAAAATGCATCTTTTAATCTCTATAACTTGAAAAGTTCTTATTTTTGTAAATCGAGTTACTTCAGAATTAGTTTTAATGGTGACGATGAAGTTTTGACTGGTTGGGACAAAAGCCTGGGACAGTACCTTTATAGCGCAGAGTTCTGACTTAAGATTCCAGCCTGCTGTTTCCCTAAATAATCGAGTAGAAGTGACTCCTGGCATGGAAGCCAGACTCCGTGAAGGGAGGGTGGTGTTTATAGGACCTAATTCCAGATGAAGAGTTGGATGTGCTTTCAGGTGTTTTGGAAAGTCTGGTGTAGTGGGTTATGGTAACTTTATCAGGTTCTGTGCTGTGTTCAGAGACACGATTATTTTGGAATGTTCCTGTTCTAAAAAAGAATTCCAACGTACTACATTTTGGAGGCATAAAAATCTATAGTTTGAGTATGGAGAAGTTTAGTTGAACTTTTGTGGTTTTTTTTGTTTGTTTGTTTTTTGTTTGTTTTGCTGTGAGCTAAGGAAGAAGACTTCACGGCCTTTGTGCTTAAAAGAGGCTGAGGGGCTGTATTTTGGAGAAATCAGATTTAAGTAGGGAGTTGGATACATCATGTGAGGATCCTATGGTATATAAAACCTTGTGTTGATATGTGCCTTTGTTAAAAGAGGCACAGTAGCTGGGCGCGGTGGCTCACGTCTGTAATCCTAGCACTTTGGGAGGCTGAGGTGGGTGGATCACCTGAGGTCAAGAGTTCAAGACCAGCCTGGCCATCATGGTGAAACCCCATCTTAAAAAAAAAAAAAAAAAAAGAGGCACAGTGCACATCCTTACTGTTCTTAAAAATTGATTTGGCAAAATGCCTTTATTCATTTTAACAAATATTTTGATTCACTACTTGTCAAACTCTGTTGTAGATCCTGGGGACCCATGTGAAAGTGTCTGCTTCTGCCCTTAAGGAATTCAGTTTGGGGGCAGTGGGGACCAGGGAACCCATGATTAATAGTGTCTGCCCACTAAGCATGCTTGAATAGTAGCATGAGGAGAGAGGGAATTCCAGAGCTGTGGCTTGCATGGCCAGCAGGAATTAGTGGGGGACATCAAGGTCTGGACACAGGGAACCACATGTACATGAGCACCTAAAATAGTGCTTGGGAGTCCTCCAGCTTGGCAGGTGGGAGCTCTCAGTCTTCCTTGTTGTGCTCAGGAGTTCCAACTTTATATGTGGCGTGCAGGAGTCTGGGGAGTCTTTTTTTTTTTTTAAAACAGAGTCAGGGCTTCTCCATGTTGGTCAGGCTGGTTTCAAACTCCTGACCTCAGGTGATCCACCTGCCTCGGCCTCCCAAAGTGCTGAGATTACAGGCGTGAGCCACCACACCTAGCCTGGGGAGTCTTTTAATTAGTATCGTGGTGTGACTTGGACCTGTGTTTAGAAAGACATTGCTGGTGGAGTGGCAGGGTGAGGAGGGAGTCAGGACCTCTGGCAGTTAAGTCAGCCAACAGAGGAGTGATGGGGAGGGAGAAGGAGCCATCAGAAAAGAGAGACTGAAAAGGTAGAACAGAGGGAAAGTTGCCCCATGATGGGTGGGTGGGGAGCTGCATTCTGGAATTCATGGGCTGGAAGACCAAGCATAACCAAGGATTTAAATACCCTCTTGATGACCTGGTATAGTGGCCCACAGATTTGCTGGTCTGTTAAGTTTTGAGGATGGTGGGATTTGGGATTTGGAGGGACCGCTTAGGGACCACTTAGACTGGAGTTGATGCATAAGAAAGGAGGCCTGGGATTTGATTATTAAAAACTTTATCTCCTGTCTGGGCGAGGTGGCTCATGCCTGTAATCCCAGCACTGGGAGGCCAAGGCAGGTGGATTACCTGAGGTCAGGAGTTCAGGACCAGCCTGGCCAACATGGTGAAACCCCCCTCTCTACTAAAAAATATAAAAATTAGGGCCGGGCGCCCGGTGGCTCAAGCCTGTAATCCCAGCACTTTGGGAGGCCGAGGCGGGTGGATCACGACGTCAAGAGATCGAGACCATCCTGGTCAACATGGTGAAACCCCGTCTCTATTAAAAATACAAAAAATTAGCTGGCATGGTGGTGCGTGCCTGTAATCCCAGCTACTCAG